GGGAAATAGTTTTACAGCAGTAGCATTTGTTTGAGACAATGAATGTCTCAATTTAAAATTAATAAGAAGGAAATTCTGTAAAAAAAAAAGTTATACAGGAAGAACTAATTGGGACATCTGAAGACAAACTTTTTTGCATTTTGCATCTGAAGACAAACTTTTTTACAACAGACATGAGTTACTTGATCATATATTTTTGTTTTTCTCCTGAACAACATTCTTTTAGATAGGATCAATTGTGGGATCCTGATTTGTTACAAAGGCCATGATAGTTAGCTGCATAGGAGGAAAAATAGGCATTTTACAAGCCCCTTGTCTTCATCTGCATAATCATAAAAAGATGGCCTTTTAAATAACACAAGTTTTCTAATCCTTTAAAAAAAATCATTTCACTTCCAAAAATGTCTTTGTATCATTTTGAGCACAGATTATTGTGCTCTGAGAGCTCAGGAAAGAGACCGGTATGTCCTTACTTTTTAATATTCATGGTTTTTCTTTTCTTGTTGTCTCCTTAACTTGACTGAGTGGTAGAATGGGTGAACTTGAGTTAAAACATAATTAAGGTTTATGGGAGGTCCCTGGCATCAAATTTACTCTTTCAGGAAGAAGCATTTTCAGACTAGAAATAGGATACAGTGTCTAATTTCATCTTTTGCTTTTCATTTTTAGAGTACAAGTGCAGATATTTCAGCAAAATTAAATACAGGCAGTCCCCGGGTTACATGGATCCGACTTACATCGGATCCCTACTTACAAACAGGGTGAGGCAACCCCGCACTAGCTGCTTCCCCCCAGCAGACCACGGAGACGCAAAGCTAGTGCCTCCCCCAGCAGACCAGGGTGATGCGGAGCGGCTTTTCTCAGCAGACACCTCAGCTTGAGAATAAAGGACTGAGGGAAGTGAGGTGTGGGAGAATAAAACTGAGCTCTGGAGAAATGTTTGGCTAGAGTTTCCCCTACAATATGTACCAGTTCCGACTTGCATACAACTTAAGAACAAACCTACAGTCCCTATCTTGTACATAACCCGGGGACTGCCTGTATATTTGTGTTCTATATAAGATACAAAGATTAATATCACAGCAATGTAGGAAGATAATGTGAAGGAATTCTAGAATTGCTATTTACTTAATTCCCTTCATGTCTGCTTTAACAGTGTATTGTTCCCAACCTTTCTTATACTGAGGACCAGCAAACCCATTCACAAACTTTGGTGGGCTGGCATTTTACTTCCATATTTGAATATGGAATATGCAAATAAAATGATGCCAGCCCACCAAAAATTATTTGCATATTCAGTATTCAAATATGGAAGTAAAATGTTGCCAGTCTGCCAAAATTTTGAGTTTGCCAGTCCGCAGTATAAAACGCCATGGCCCCCAGAGCCAGCCCTAACCCCTAGTGCCCCTCACCTCTGCATTACCCCTCCCCCCCAGTGCCAGCTACTGACTCCAGAGTCCTCTGCAGCCAAACCCCTGCCCCCCATGATAGCCTCTTGCCTTCAGAGTTTCCTAGTGCCAGCCCCTGTACCTCAAATGCCTCAGAGCCAGCCTCCTGTTTCCAGAGCCCCACTGCACCCAATCCCCCCAGGTTCCCCATGCCAGTCCCCCATTTAGCCCTGTCTTCCTTGCCAGCCCTGCTCCCCTTACCACTTCATTACTAGCCCCATGCCCAGAGCCCCCCAATGCCAGCTTCCCATGCTAGATGTCACAGTGCCCCTCAGTGTCAGCCCCTCACCTGCCTCTTAGAGTCCTCCCTGCGCCCTCCCCCCCCCCGTGCTTGCCCCACCTCCCTCACATAGCTCTGCTGCTGCTCCTCAGCTGCCAGCTGAGCACCGAATGCTTCCCAGCACGGCTGCTTGGAGCCCACAGCATGCCAGGCTCCTACTGAGTGTCATGGCAGCTGGTCTCCTGATGAGTGTCACAGCAGCTGGGCTCCATGTGATGCTTGGCCTTGGCAGAGCGCTGCAGTTGCCAGAGCTGGAACTGGGGCTACGGTGAAATTGCCGCATTAGGGGCAGCCTCACTGCAGCACCAGCTCCAGCCGCAGCACGCCCATCAGGCCAGTTGTCATGCTGCTGCGTGAGGGAACCCCAGCTGGCATGGCTAAGTTGCAGCTGGGGGTGTGGCCTGGCAGTGTGCCATGGCCCATCAAGCAGGGGTTCAAGGACCACCACTGCTCTGTGAACCAGTGGTTGGGAACCACTGGTGTATTGTACAGATTTTTACAAGTTTTTAATACCCCAATGTAAGATTTAAAAAAATATCTTATCAAATCCACACAAAATGAACAAAACCCAAATTACTATAAGTGAATGATACACCGTAGATTATCACCATGTCATTCAGTGACTTGAGTATGGGAGTCAGAAGATCTGGGTTGGATTCATGAGCCAGATATTTACTACAACATCACACTATGCCTCAGTTTTCTAGTTCATAAAGTGTCAGTGACATTTCCCCATCTGGATGAAGCACTTTAAAATATATAGGTAAATACCACAGTATAGGTAAAAATAACAAGGAGTCCTATGGCACCTTAAAAACTAATAGATTTAATTGGGCATAAGCTTTCATGGGTTAAAACCACTTCACTGTGTGCATGACGACTTTGGTGAAGTGGTTTTTACCCATGAAAACTTATGCCCATGTAAAATTGCTAGTTGTCAAGGTGCCACAGGACTCCTCTGTTTTTGCAGATACAGATTAACATGTCTACTTCTGGGACTTGTCACCACTGTATAGATAGTAAGTGTTCTATAATAATCCAGTGGGAGTGACTTTGAAATTTGTTTTTATTTATGTGTATGCACGTGCAAGTGATCTTAATATTTTGCCAAATTTTTATATATATATAAAATAACATTTGATGAGATTTTAAGATCACTTAGATAACCATTTGCTAAAGGTTATATTTTAGTTACACACCAGATCATCCATATTCTATTATGAAAAAGTGTGTATCTTGACCCAGAAATGCATATGCTATTCAAAAGATTTTACTAAAACCAATACAATAGAATATATAAAAATGCTTTTATAATCTTAAAAATTATATTCATATAAATAGCTATGGTGTTGTGAAATGGAAAAATTGATGATGGTTTACATTTCATGTTTTGTCTAAATCATTTTCTGTTCTAAATAGGTAGCATAGAGTCGTCATTTTATTTGCATATAGAGTTGATATCTCTTGCACTTCAAAAATAAATTCAGTTATAGTGGACTACAGCTTGTAGTAGTAAGAGCTGAAAGTGTATTATGAAAAATTGATCTTCATCTGTTGAGCAGTTATGGATTTAATTATATTTAGAAATGCATTTAAAATCAGTCATCAATGAAAGTTTAAAAACTGCTTGATAAAAGAACAGGAGGCCTCTGGGATGCTCATATTTGTGGTGTGTTGGTTATGAAAGAACTTTCCAGAGAAAATACCAAAAGGATTTCTCAAGAAATACCTGTCTTGTTTACTCTAATTTTTTTTCAAGAAGACCATATATAGGTCACTGCATATAGATTTTCCAATTTTAGGTAATCAGTAAAATCAATTATTGGAAATGAATTGGGCTTGTTACTCCTACGCTCCAAAAGACCTGATTGAGCAGGGACTTGATTTTTTATTAAGACTACTTAAATTTTTTAACACTTGTGTAATTCAAAGGCTTAACTAACATTTGAGGAAAAGTTTTTGTGCTCAGTATTCAACATTCCTCTTTTTGGTTAAGGATAGTGTATACTTCCAGTACATATCTTTGAGTCTTCCAAAAAATACCTCCAAGAAAAGAGGGATGGACTGAACAAGACATCTTGATTTCTTTAAAGCAAACCACAAGCAAGGGTTGAGGAAAACTTTTGAGGTTTTTTTCTTTATTTAATGAAGCAAAGAAAAAGCAAAATGTGGGCACACATTCTTTTTTTTTTTTTTTATAAATAATTAAATCTTGACCCCGCTGAAGTCAATGGGAGTTTGTCATTGACTTCAATAGTCAAGATTTTGCCATTTAAGATTCTCATTGTTAGGAGACTTTTTAACCTAGAGACTGGGTTGTGCATCTCCCACTGGGAGTTAGAATTGCATATATTCATTTGTTACTTTATAGATAAAATTCATTATTAGCATTACATATATTCAATCTTCAAATTTGATACATACTCTGCAATATTTTATTGTAAAATGTGTATTGGATTGTAAACATCCATTTTTCCTAAAAGCATTGACTTACAAGAATTTCTTTAACATAGAAAAAGTTCTATTTTTTGTAAAATGATTGAATATTGTTCTGGATATTTATGACCATAAGTAAAAATAAAATAATTCTAAAATGGCATCTGTCCAATATTCCAGTTTGTTGTGAAATTTTGGTTGCATACTGACATTTCTATTATCATGAAGCATAATTCTATCTATATTTGGTTTAATTAAAATATTGCATTGTTTGCAATTTGCACATATAGGACAAAGCCAGAGTGTGGGTTCCTAAAGTGTGTGTGTGTGTGCGTGTGTATTATATATATATATATATATATATATATATATATATATGGTCATGCCAATTCTCTTCCAGAATATGATCTGTGGAAGTCAGTCTGGCTCACGAAAGCTTATCACCTATGAAACTATCTTGTTAGTCTTTAAAGTGCTACGTAGTTTTTCCTTTTTCTTAACCAACATAAGGTATAATTTTTTTTATTCTACATAATTACTTTTCCTTGACTTTTCTTATGTAGCAGGATACTGTTCTCATTGACCACTCACTACTTCAAAGTAGAAGATGGAGGTGAAAGATCTGTCTGTGTCACCTTTGGCTTTTTTTTCTTTGTCAAAGCCATGGCAATCCTTATTGTAACTGAAAATTATCTAGAATTTGGACTTGAATCAGGTAATTTTATGAAGATGTTTATGAGCTCTGTTTATTTTTAATATATAATCAATATTATATCTTTAGATACTCTAAATAGGCTATCTGTTTTAAAACCAATTCTATTTGTAGATGTATTTTTGAATCTGCTTTCCCCAAACATCTTTTAATAAAAGTGCATCTTAAGTAATTATCTTTATTTTAGAGTATTTTTCTGCATAGATTTTGCTTCATGTTAACTGTTTGTTTACCTTTTTTCTGTTAACCCCCTTTAACCTAACACCGTTAAGTGAAGCTCTCCTCTAATGCTGAAAAATTATTTATATTTTTAAAGAATTAATGTAAATTTTATTCATGTTCATGAAGTGCACAAATATCAAAGGAATGTTTTCAAAGACTGTTCTTGCTAATAACCAAGTTTTATTGCATTGTGGCATACTAATTAGCACATGAAAGAGCTAAACCAGACATATGAAAACTTGTTTAAAAGATGTTCTGTTTTCTAGCATTTTCTTTCAAGAGAGATTGTATGTTTGCACCATGATAAAAAGTCTCTCTCTTTCTTCAGGGTTTTCAAATTTTTCGAAAAGTGCTGTGCAGTTTCTTGAAAAGCAAGGTTTGGAATCCCAGTAAGTTTCTGAAAAGCTTACTCGTGTGCTTTTATATTACTACAAATTTATTAACAAATCACTTGTTTTTTGTTAGTGAGCATTTATGGCTTGATTATTCACTTCTGTGCTTTGCTCTTATACTGTGTTTATTAATGCAAAAGAGCTGGATAAATTAGAATAATCCAGCTCTATATTCATATTACTTGACATGTCTTGATCTAATGTTTTTTGTTTCTTTTTTTAAATTTCAAATTGGCATTAGAGTAAACTATTAAACACAATTCAAAATTGCAGGCATTTTTGCCACCTCCTACTTATACCCTCACTTCACTTTCTTAATGCTTTACAAATTTTTCTTAAACCTCAAACCACCTCTGAGGATGAGTATTGCCCTCACTGTATGTATAAGGGGACTACTGAGAAGTGAAACACTTTGCCAAAGGTTACAGATGGAGCACGTGGCAGAATGGAGATTAGAAATTGGTGGCTCTTTGAGTGCTTGCTTATATCATTTCCAGTCTGGGTTTGCGCATGCCCACATGCAGTTGTTGAAGATTTTTTGCCTTAGCGGTATCCATAGAGCAGGCTGTAGTGCCCTCTGGAGTGCTGGGGTCATGCTGTGGTATATCAGGTGCTATCGGCTTTACTGTTCTCTGTTCCTTCTTACTGTCCATGATTGCTGGTTGGAGTGGCTGGTTTTGCTTAACAAGAGCATTAATTATTCTCTGTTGTTTAGTTTGTTGTTTGTTTTTTAGTTGAGTAATTGGATTTAGTAATAGCTTAGTGCTTAGTCTCAGCTGGGAATTTAGGTTTCAAGCCGTTTTCTGAGTGCAGCTGGCTGATGCCCATCAGTGACCCTCATGAAAGCTGTTTGAAGTACCTGGGGGAGTTCGGTAGAAAGGACAAGTGCCAGATCTGCAAAAGCTTTCATCCATGAACTCAAAAAGAGAGGGACATTTGATTGAGGGTCCTTCTCATGCAGGCTGCTCTACAACCGGCATCCGAACATGGAATCACAGAATCATAGAATCCTAGGACTGGGAGAGACGTCATTGGCCCGAAGCAGGACCAACCCTAACTAAATCATCCCAACCAGGGCTTTGTCAATCCGGAACTTAGAACCCTTTAACTCAGACTCCAGTATTTCAGTGTTGACACACAGTGTGCTGCCGACACGAGGATCCACCCAGCAGAATTCTCCTTTATGGCACTGAAGAAGTGGTTTAAGTCAACACATTTGTTTGGCATCACACAACAGCTTTAGGCAAAGGATCTGAGTTAGGCCTGTTGCCTACAACAGTCTCTCTCAGGAATGCTGCTGTGGCTGGACCTTCTAGTGCAGCCAGGAACCCGCCTCTGACTCCAGGGAGTGATAGGAGGTCCTGGCCCATCACAGGGCCTTCTGTGCCCAAAGTAGGCCCTGTGGCCAAAGAACAGTCAGGCCAACAAGCATAGCAGATGCCTGACTACATAGCGGCTCCCATCAAGACAACGGTACAGAGAACCAAACCAGGTATTGGACCCCACTCCCGAAGTCAATGGAACAGGCCCCTAACCACAGATGTTTCCCTCTGACATGCCAAGGGTCCAGTACTGCAGCCTCGGTCTCTGGCCATCTGGCTGAGGTTTCCAATACCATGGTTCCCTCCTGTGACACTTGGAAATTCAGAGCTGCAATAGACCTCTTGCCAGAGATTGTCAAGGTGCCAGTCACCATTAACATGGAGACCTCTGAGAGTGATCCCCTGTAGCATGAGACTATTTCTGGCCATGGCTCTGGTCTCTGAGGCCATGGCACCATTCTTTGGGCATGTACCAGCCCATGGTGCTGGCATGTCTGGTCCAACACTGGTTCAGCACTCTCAGTTGTGAACCTGTTCTGGCTGCTGTCCAGGATGGACTTGTTGCCAGACCCATGGCAGTCTTCTGCACCCAAGCCTAATGGGGCTACATCTGACAGCTTGACTGCACTTGGATGAACATCTAGGAGCAGCAATGCTTGACTGAGGCCCAGTGAATCCTTTTGGAAAGTAGAAGCCTTTCTCCAGGACAACTTACCTGGCAAAAAGGAAGTGATTCACCTGCTGGGTGGTGGATAAGGAGCAAGCGTCATTGCTGCTCATTCTAGACTACCTCCTGTATCTAAAGTTCCATGGCTTGTTGCTTTCATCAATCAAGGTCCATCTGTTGGCCATCTCAACCTTCTGAATGCTCAAAGGCAGGTTGGTTTTTTTCTCAGGATTTTGGGTCCAGATTCCTTTACGGCCTAGAGTCAGGGCACCTGTTCTTCTGTGGGATGTAAGTCTGGTGCCGTCACAGCTCACTGGTTCCCCTTTGAGCATCTGGCTTCCTTCTCTCCTGTATGTCAACCTATAGTAGTGGTCTCCAACCTTTTTACACCCAAGATCACTTTTTAAATGTCAGAACAAGTCAAGATCTACCTCCCCATCCTTTCCCCAAACCCCCACCTCTTCGTTGCAGCCCTGCCCTCCCTATTCTCCTTCTCTCCATCACTTGCTATCCCCAGCCCTTATACACTCTACACTGCCGCTTTTTTTTATTCTTCTGTAGGAAGAGGTTTTTCCAACATTTGGCCTGTCTAGACTGGACCACATGTCAGAAAAACCCCTTCTTTTGGAAGCCCCCTTATTCCTTGTGGAACGAGGAATGCAGGGGTTACTGAAAGAGCTTGTTTTCTCTTCCACTAAAAAAGCGGAAGAACAAATGCGTCCCTGGATGCAGAAGAGTTTTTCAGGGATATCTCTGGAATCCTGGAAAAGCTGCAGTCTAGCCGTACTCTCACTGGATTAAGACAGGATGTGTGGGGTCTGGAGTGGAAATAAGGAATTTGAGTATGGGAAGGCATGAGAGGTGTAAGCTCCGGAAGGAAATTTGGATGCAGGAGGAGGTGGAGAAGGGGACACTGGCTTGGGGAGAGGGCTTCAGGTTGGGGAGTGTTGGGGTCAGATGGAGGGTTGGGGTACTAAGCAAGCCACAGGCTTCTGGATGTGAGGGTGCAGGAGTTTGGGTTGGGGTATGTGAGGGGCTTAGTACAGGGGGGTCCAGTGTATCATAGGCTTGGATCTAGTGTCTGGGGGGCAGTGCAGGAGTGTCATGATGCTTCAGACAGATGGGGGTTTGTTGGCCAGGCTTCATTTTTAAATAAAATACTATGTCAAACACAAAAAGTTTCTGCATTGTCTTTAATTATAAGAAAAGCAGGGAACCTGTTTTGAGGCAAGGGTCACTGACCCGCAGAAAAGTCAGTTGTGGGCCACACAAGTGAGATGCAAAAAAGTAACTTCTCCAAAAAAAACCCCAAGCCTCACTAATGTGGCCCCAACTGTGCTGGTGGGGGATGGGGACGCAGGGAGAAGGGTGCCAGTGGGGGACAGGGGAGAGGGGACAGGGTGCCACGGGGGCAGGGGATAGGGTTCTGCAGCAGGGGACAGAGTGCCAGTGGGGGTAGGGGACAGGGTGTTGCTGGGGCAGAGGACAGGGAGTCCCCCGCACCTGCCTCCTCCGGGGCCAACTCCCCCCTCCCGCAGAGGAGGAAAGCCCCAGCATGCGCCTCCTCTGGGGACTACCCCCACCCTCTGCAAGTTCCTGGCATGCCGCAGACCTGGGGGAGGGGAGCAGTCAGCGCACTTCCGGAACCTCTGGAAGTGGCGCGCAGCTGCAGAACTTCCGTCCACCGTGCAGGAAGCCGGCACTACCCCTATTGTCGCTGGAGGTAGGTAGTGTGGCTTCTTGGGGGTGAGGCGAAACGGGAGGGACCCGAACGCCTCGCGATCAACTGGTCGAGCCTCGCGCTCAACGGGTTGGTGACCACGGGCCTATAGGCTATCCATGATTCGAGCGCTCATCTTAGAATCATCTTACATGGTCTTAAGTAAGCTCCAGCTAAAACTGCACCAGGCTTTCCTTCATATGGTGGTCTCTGTTTCCGTTAAGCCAAGATATTTGCTTTTCAGTTTTCTTTCTGAAGCCACATAAATTGTAGAAGGAGTATAGGCTGTATTCCCTGGATGTCAGAAGAGCTCTGTCCTACATTGACAGGACCGAGCCATCCTGTAAATCCATGTAATCATTTGTTGCTGCAGTTAACAAATGAAAGATCACCCTTTTTCTGCTCAAAGATTTTGTTCATGAATGACTGCCTCAATTGCTACTGTTATGATCAAATGAATGTGATGCCCCCAACAATCGTCACTACCCACTCTCCTCTTCAGCAGCCTTTTTAGCCCAGTGTCTATTCAGGGCATCTATGGGGTGGCTACCTAGTCGTCGGTCCATACCTTTCACATCCCACTATGTGCTTAACTGGGACAGTGCTGCTTTCAATAGAGCAGTACTGCATGTTGCCACGTGGTCAGCTTCAAACCCACCTCCATAGATACTGCTTGTGAGTTACTTGGAATGGAATCCACATGAGCAAGCACTCGAAGAAAAAAGGTTACTTATCTTTTCATAATTGTTATTCTGTAAGATATATTGCTCATGTCCTTTCCATTACCTGCTCTTCTGCACCTCTTTCAGAGTTGCCAGCAAAAAGGAACTGAGAGGGCATAGGGCCGATGGTGATTGATATACCGTTGCATGAGTGCAGTGCTTCAGAGGGCTGGCTCTGTGGATACCATTAAAGCAAAAATCTGAGGCAACTGTGCATGTGAGTGAGCACATGCCTAGGATGGAATTGACATGAGCAACAACATTTTGTAGAACAGTAGTTATGAAAAGGTAAGTAACTGGTTTTTGGCATCTAATTCTGTGTTCAGGTTATTGTGAACTGCTTCTTGTGCAAGTATGATCTGTTTGCTTTAGGATACCCAGGTTTTATGTGCCTGACAAAGGCATATTCTATAATCTAAGTGATGTTTCTTACATACACAATCAAAAATAATCTCTTTTGCATGTAATATTTTAAATATATCTGTTTTGTTAGTCCATGCTTTCAAATGTTTAGAGGATGTCAGTATGTATATATGAAGTGAATTGTGATGGCTCTGGGACCATGACTTTGAATTTCTTTTTCAACAACCATATTAATACAACATTTTTGGGAAGAGGTATCTGAGGACTGTGGGTCTAAAGTAAATCAACCTTTATTATAGCTTCTGTTGAACATTTTGCATTTCCTGACCTGCAAGCTATCCTCCCTGTGATTTATTCTCATCGTGCTTTCCTAACTTTTTAATTAATTTTCCAGTTAGTGCCTGACTGTCCTAATTCCCTTTTGAACTTCACTGCAGTGTCTTGGCAATTTACAAGCAGTGATTGCATGGTCATGGCATCTCTTGGGAGTTAAATGAGATGGATTATGAATGTATCTACTAAAATTCTATTGTATGGGTCTCTATTCTTTGTTGCCACCTATTAATAGTAATCAGTATTGCATCATTTAGGTCTGTGATTCTTACATAATCCTGAAGACGGGTGCAGAAAGATCAAATATTTGATTCTAGTTTTTTGCTTGTTCATTTTACGTTTGTGGGTCAATAATTTAAAAAGTCATATTCTCCCAAGATAAAGTGAATATTAATTATCCATTTATCTAATGGTGATGTGTAACTAGAGTATCAGTAGTTGAAAATATTTGAGTGCTACTTAGTGGGTAAAAGTTGAATGCAAGCACAATAATATAAATTAAAACAATGGCTAATGTACTTCAGCTTTTCTCTGTTAATTAGGTATATCTGTCTCTCTCAATACTATCTGCATAGTGCCAAACGTGCAAAATATATTTCTTGGAAGATTGTATTAATTTTTCTGCATAGAAGTTCTTTTTTTATTCTTTTTAAAATGTACAGCCTGCGTAGGTTTACTCAGTTTTTATTTTAAGTTGCTGGATCTACTGCTAGTAATTCTAAGCTCAGTCAGTTTTGGCATCCTAGGAAGATGAAATTAAACTGCTTTCTTCAAAATCTTGAATGAATATCTTATGCTGTTTGCTTGTTTTCAACTGTTGGGGGAGATGGGATGAAGTGTCCAGAAAAAATTCCTTTAAAATTTTCAAAAAAATGTTTATTTCCTTTTTTTAGGGGTCCTGTGTCTAAACTAACCTTCAAATTGTTCCTGGCTGTTCTTTGTTCACTTATTGGTGCTTTTTTGACATTCCCTGGCTTGCGACTGGCTCAAATGCATCTGGATGCTCTGAATTTAGCAACTGAAAAAATAACACAGTAAGAGAAAATATATACACATAGATACATCTGAATATCTTTATTTATGTACAAACTAGTAATATAATTCATTTCCAGTGAGAGAATAGTGATTTGCTAGGACCATTTCCTACCTGCTTTCTCAAGTCTTTCAGAGGGCCTGCCAGCTTCCTTTGCATCACCCAAAGTAACTGCTTTCCCTGTACTGTCCTTCACTAGATGACCGGAGAGACAATATAGGAGCATTCTTTTCTCCCTTTCTCATATATCAGCATCAGACTGATTGGCCCTCAGCTCTTCACTTTGATCATATTTTTAGGCAGACAAGGAAATAAAGATGAAGGAGCACAGCTGCCAGTTTCAGTTGTGCACTTTCCCCAATTGCTAGATTAGGGGCATCATACAGAAAGGGCATAGTATGGGGAGAAGTGTTTTCAGGAGGGTAATAAAGAAAGCAGAACAAAAACCAAGCAGAAAAAAAATACCTCCCGGTTTTCTTGAACTCTGAGTTAAACCTCTAACTGAAGCTTGGCAACTTTATTGTTTGTTGCATATTAAGTACATTGCAGTTAGGAAACCATGTAGGAAAATCAAGTTCAAACTGCAGCAGGCATAGAGTAGCATCTTTTTCAATGATGGAAATAAAATGCAAGTGTCATTTTCAATAAAGTTGGAATAGGAAAGTGGCTAATTATTTATGATGCTACTTACACAATTAAAATTATTTAATTGGCGAGAGAGGGTTGTGACTACAGGTTAAAGCCACATTTTCAAGTCTAGCGTCTTATCTACTTAGAGCCTCAAATTCAAAAATGAGAGATTTAAATATATTAAACAAAACTTCAGGGTTTTCTGAGTATCTGATCCCTATTGAAAATCTTGGACTGGACTGTCCTAATATTTAATTATATTTGTTCTTGGTGACATTGTATAGAATAAAAAAAATTGTTTGCATGGCTATTTTTAATGTTTAATTTTGCTAGTCCTTTTAATTTTCTTTCAGGAGCACCATTTGTATGTATGTGTGTTCTGTGGTTAGGAGTACTTATCCTTACTCCTTTCCTCCTAGTCCACCCCTTTTCCTCAGGTTGTTTTGAGAGCTTTCAGCCTTTCTCACACTACTTCAGTGAACAAAAGTGGACTCTTGCCACCCCTCTATACATTTTAGTCTACTAACCTAATATTGTGACTTAAATAAGCAGAAGAGCAGGTAAAAGCCTTTCACAAGCTACTGAACTGCTTTGAGCTGCTTCTTGATGCTGTAGTGTTCCCTAGCAACACTGCATAGCTAGCACTGCTTTATTTCTAAACCAGTGGTTTACTCAGACTGCATGATGAGGTGCTTCTGAAAATAGAAATGGTTTTCAGAGATTTAGTATCAGTTTTAATTGAGTGACGTGATATTTTTAGGATACAATTTTATATACCTGATCATCTCCTTGATAATATTGTAGCACTTTTTTAAGGGCTGGGAATATGGGCAGTCTGGCTCTGATAACATTTCAGTGGTGCACTGGTACGAATACCTAATGCTATACCTACGGCCCTACCAAATTCATGGCACTGAAAACACATAACAGGCCATGAAATCTGGTCTTCCGCCATGAATTTGATAAGGCCGTAGCTGTACCTACTGAATTAATGGAAATATTTTTATTTAAATGGTGCACAATCAAGTACTGAGATTAATTTTTTTGAAAGGTCCTGAGAATGGGCTGTAACTTTAAAAAAATAAAAATAAAAAAAATCATTCTTGTTTTGCACTCCCACAATTTATATTTATTTTAACCATTCAGTTTAATTTGCACTGAATCCAATATGTTTAAAAGTAGCTATACTAGAAATGTTGTACTATCTTTGTTGTACTGTTTTTCTCTGAGTATTTACAATTGGATGCTAGTACCAAATATCACATAGGGTTAAGTCAGGTTCCCAATTAAGAAAAACTATACAAAATTGGGAAATTTGACTTGTCGGAAATGATTGCTATTTCCCTGTTTTTCTGTGGATAACAAACTAATCGTGTGTGTGTGTGTGTGTGTTCAGTAGTACAAAAATGTTCATATACATTATTTATCTGACACTAAGGATAGTGAATATTATCCATAATTATCAGTTTGAGATACTGAGTTCCTAGATTAAACATACATTATACCCGTGTAGATCTGTATAACGGCTGGCATGTATCATGTTACTGTGTAACATAAGTGATTTCTTAAGTAATTCACCTTTCACCATAGTATCTAATCATGAAATTGCACTAGCCAATTCCTTTGTTAAAATCCCGTAAACATTCTGAAAAAATGAAACCTTTTCCTATGTAATAGTTAGCAGGTTTAAAACAAATAAAAGGAAGGTTTTTTTCATGCAGCGTACAACCTGTGGAACTCTTTGCCTAAGGATGTTGTGAAGACCAGAACTTTAACAAGTGATTGGGCAACAAAATGGGAAATAAAATTTAATGTTGATGAATGTAAAGTAATGCACATTGGAAAAAATAACCCCAACTATACATACAATATGATGGGGACTGATTTAGCTACAACGACTGAAGAGAGAGATCTTGGAGTGATTTTGGATAGTTCTCTGAAAACATCCACTCAGGGTGTGTCTAAACTACATGTCTCCGTCGATGGAGCCATGTAGATTAGGCTGATCGGCAGAGGGAAATGAAGCCGCGATTTAAATAATTGCAGCTTCATTTAAATTTAAATGGCTGCCGCGTTCTGCTGACCAGCTGATGAACAGCTGTTTGTCGGCAGATCGGGGCAATCTGGACGCACCCCGGTTACAAGGAATCCTTTGTCGACTGGTGCAGGTATGCCTCGTGAAACGAGGTTTAGACACACCCTCAATGTGCAGCGGCAGTTAAAAAAAGCAAATAGAATGTTAGGAATCATTAATAAAGGTATAGAGAATATCTTTTTGCCTCTATATAAAACCATGGTACGCCCACATCTTGAATACTGTGTACAGCTGTGGTCGCCTCATCTCAAAAAAATATACTGGCATTGGCATAAAAGGTTCAGAAAAGAGCAACAAAAATGATTAGGTGTTTGGAATAGGTCCCATATGAAGAGAGATTTTTTAAAAAACTTATCTTAGAAAAGAGGAGACTAAGGGGGGATATGATAGAGGTCTATAAAATTATGATTGGTGTGGAAAAAGTGAATAAGGAAAAGTTTTCTAGTTATTCCCACAATGTAAGAACTAGGGGTCACCAAATGAAATGAATAGGTAGCAGGTTTAAAACAAACAAAAGGAAGTTTTTCTTTACTTAGTGCACAGTCAATCTGTGGAACTCCTTGCCAGAAGATGTGGTAAAGACTAGGACTTTAACAGGGTTCAAAAAAGAGCTCGATAGATTCATGGAGGTTAGGTCCATGAATGTGTATTAGCCAGAATGGGTAGGAATGGTGTCCCTAGCCTCTTTTATTCAAAGGCTAGCAATGAATGACAGAAGAAGGATCATTTGAGGATTAGCTGTTCTGTTCACTCCTGACAGTGGCCAATGTCAGATGCCTCAGAAGACAGGATATTGGCCTAGATGGACCTTTGGTCTGACCCAGTATTGCAATTATGTTCTTATTTCTACCTCCTTTTCAGTTAAGAAATGCCCACATTTTTAGGCTTGGAAACATTTGATGTTTACTGACATAGCAGTAAAAAATAATTTCAGTGTACATACAAACTGAAGAAAAGATATTTCCATCAATGATTGAACTTTGCAATAGGCAAAGTCAGAAAATGACTTCTTCAGATTGAGTTTTATTTAAGGATATTTGTGTATTTTGACGTGATGTTAACAAATTTGTATTTTAGAGTTGTAAAGCTTTACGTTTTTATCTCTGTGTTTGCTAGCATTAAATAATTGTCTGATCCCCTTCAAGGTTTCTGCCACTGTGAAAATTTAAAACAATAAAAATTGAAGAGTACTTAAAATTAAACATTGATACTCAGTCTTGCTCATACTAATTTAAAAAAAATCTGCCACACCTCATTACTCTTGACAATTTGGGGCTAGAGAAATGTAGATTACTGGTGTAATAGTTGTATATTAAATGTGTTTTTCCTTTTCTCTTTTCTTTCAGAACATTACTGCATATAAACTTCCTGGCACCTTTACTTATGGTCCTATTGTGGGTAAAACCAATTACCAAAGACTACATTATGAACCCACCACTGGGTAAAGAGAGCGTACCTTTGTAAGGTTCTTTAATATTTTTCTAAAGTCTTAGGATCAGACTCCTCATCCCCACTCTGTTATTTATATGCCATGTAAAAGGGCTGTAGTGCCATAAAGGGGTCTTAAAATCCATGGTTTTGGCCATGGAAGGAATCCCTGGCATAGGCCTTGGCAGAAATTTCACTATAGCCCTAGGAAACAGCTATAGTATAGGCCTGGCTCATTTTTTCGCTGTAGTATTTCCCAAGCTATAGGTATCATTGCCCCAACTCTGTGCATACGCAAGTACCTAGCTTGAATGAGCTGGCCTGTTGAGGGCATGAGTTGAAGATCAAATGCTGCTGACACCTGAGTGTGTTTAATATAGTCGGGATGCAGCAGCTGAGTTAGCATAATTCATCAGATGCTAGTCCAATCACTCTAATAGAATCACTGTGCTGCTAATCAAATCACTCCTTGTAGTTGGGATATTGTCTTGCATTGTGGCTGTGGGAGCTAACTTTATTTCAGGAGATGGCGTTCCTACACTGACAGAAAAACCCCTTCTGTAATGTAGGCTGCATCTACACTATCTGACTTCGTTAGTGTGGTCTCCATGGTAGACATACCCTATGTTTCCTGATGTGTGTGGTGGAGAAAGTCTGCATAGTCACTCTGTTATTTTTACCATGATAGCTGACGGTGGTGGTGGTTATAAAAAAAAGTGTTTGAAAATTTTTATTTACTCTTTTTGTTTCTAGAAATAAAGCTATCTAAGTACGATCACTCACTAATTTAATTACAATTTCTAGGGTTTTTTTTAAAAAACTTTATTTAGTGTGGCTTTTTTAAATTAGAAAATATTGCAGTGACACTTAACCTGGCTAGAGGCCAAAAATACCATTAGGTTGTAATTCAGTTGATATTTTACAGTTGTTTAGTGAAGATTCCAAATCTTAAAGCATTTGGAATACATAATTCTTTATTTATTATTCTAGATTTCTTAAAATTTTCAATACTAAAGAACTTTCAAGTTTTTCATTTTGCAACCACTTGCATATTTTATGTAGAGCTCGTGCCATGGCATGTGAGGGAAGCGTAAGCAACTAAGGGAGAAGAGAAAATTGTATATTGCTTGCATATGAGTCATGCAATTAATTATTAAATATTTCCATCAGAGTGACTTTTGGAGAATAGTGTAATACTGTTTTCATCCACAGAATGTCAGAAGCAACATTTGATACAGTACGATTGTGGATAATTATCCTGTTGTGTGCTTTACGGTTGGCCATGATGCGCAAACACCTGCAAGCCTACCTTAATTTAGCACAGAAATGTGTGGATCAGATGAAAAAGGAGGCTGGCAGAATAAGTACAGTTGATCTGCAGAAAATGGTATGTGAATAGAACAAAAATGATAAATGTGTGAATTGATTTACATTGAAATTTTAACATAGTTTGTTGGGCACAAAACATTGCCTTTCCCTTTTACCCTTCCACAGGCTCAGAATTCACAGCCAAGTCATGAACTGAGAGTTTTCCCAAGTGCACTCATTTTAACAAGAAGGCTCCCATTGCAAGGGGAGAACCCTTCAACCCCAGAAAATGCACAGTTGAACTGATATTTCCCACACGTGACAGTTATACAAGCTAAATTCTTCCTGCCTTTGATCTATGTCTTAAGGCAGTGGTTCCCAACCTTTTGTATACTGTAGACTGGCAAACATTTTATCTGCATATCCATTATTTACATATGCAACAAATATACAAATACGATGTTGCTGGTCCACCAAACCTCATATCCCCTGCTCTGATTCCTGCTCCCTCAACCTTTTGCCCCAAGCCCGTCATACACTCCTGCGCCCCCCATATTCCCAGGCCCTAGCCCTGAGCCCCCCCAGCTACACTTTTATTTCTCAGTGTAAGAAATTTGTGTTATTTTCAGTTCTCCAGCTGAGTATCTCACAATCAGGACCATTAGTGGCAGCCATAAAATGGACTCCTATGGGACCGGGACCAGAGCAGGAACGGGCTGCAGCTACCTCAGCAGGGAGGACTCTGTGTGGCCAGCCTGGGAGGAGGTGCTGCTACCAAGTTCCCATGGCAACATGTGTTGCCGCCAACATGGCCATAAACAGTCCAGAGAAAGGGCACGGGGTGGGCAATGGCTGAGCAGCTTCAACACACCTCCCAATGCCCCACCCTATCCACCCAACACTGTGTTCTTGCTCAGACCCACTCAGCCCCCCCTTCCAGAAGTGCTGGTGAAATCTAGCATCCAGCCCACGGCTGCCGTCTCTACCAACAGCCCAGGGTACATCCGGAAGTGTGGGCTCCATATCACCTCCTCCAAACCCCCATCCGCCTGCTCCTGAGGCCATGCCATTCTGTTCAAGCCATTGGCGTGGCCTGGTGGTGTCCTGTGGCCAGGCAACCAGGAATTCATGGCCCAGCAGCTGGGAAACCGCTGTCCTAAGGAATTGTCCCTATAGACAGTCACAGTACTATACCTATCTTAAACATTTTGTCCAGCATATTTGGTAATCAGTTACTGTATTTTTCAAATGAATGGTGTGACATAGACTTCTGCAAATGTGTATGGAGTGTGTAACTGAGTAGTGATATGGACTTGTGGTGTGCACAGAGGAAATCTTAGGTTTTGTTAGGAGAAGCAAGGTGCTGTTATGTTCCCACTTCCACAGAGGCAAAAATAAGATTATATGGCTGTATAATGTACTAAATGTGCAGAGTTCTTTAAACTGTAAAATGAGCTATATACTAATATATATAGTATTAACATTTAAGATTTTATTTAAAGAGCTAAATGATACAGTTCAGTATATTTTTATGACACTTTTGCAAGTCTGGACGTTCAACTACTTGCCCATCTTGTTATCAGTCAATAATTATTTCTTTTAGTAGTCAAGTTACTGTGGCCAAATGGGTGGGTAGAAATTTGTAAGAATGTGTAAATATTTGGGAGGTATAGATTCATGTTGCAGAGAAGTACTTGAGTGTGCCTTGCTACAGCATGTTAGTCAGTCCCAGGGGAGATGTGGTTTGGAAAGTGTCATATAGCACAAAATAGGCCTGTTTCAATAAGGTACGTATCACTGTAACCAATAGTGTAGTATCTGTCTCACCAGCAAAATATAAAGCAATGGGCTTCAAAGGGAATTTCTAGCCCATAGTTTTTATTTCAGAAGCATAGTTACTAATGTGGGGCTTCAGGATTGAGATGGATTATTCACAGGGCTCTTCTCAGTAATCAATACTAGAATCATTTCTGTTGTCATTGCTAAGAATCTTGGTGTTCTCTTCAATCAGCATTTTTCTCCACCTATATTTCTCAGGTTGTTTTTCCAGATAACTCCTTCCAAATATCTCAGTGAACTGTAAGGTTTTGTAATTTTCATATAGCAAAAGCTTTTGTTCCATACAATGCCCTTTTCTCCAGTCTTCCAAAATCCTTATTTTTCCAGTCACTCTAAAGTCACTAAACATCATTTTTTGGTTTCATCTTGCTATTTGTGTATCACCTCCACTCTTTTTGATCTTTGGTTACTGTAACAAGGTAACAATTCTTTTTGTTTATCAGTTGATGCTTTTCTGTTTGCTCCCTTTGATGCAATATGATTAATCATTTTATTATGTTTTGGTTGAATGGTCATCATATTTCCTCTTTTATACCCCATGTTTTGGAACGCTTTTCCCCATCTTTTTGACACTTATCTCAAACCGCCTTCCCTTTAGTGCTTTTTTAAAGAATTCCATGCCTTTTCATTTTTTTATGTAAAGCCAGTATTTTCTTCTCATTTAAGATGTACTAAAATGGCTTTTTCATTGCTGATACTGTTTTTTTATTTTGTCCTCTTATTTTTTCCGAACACTTTGGGTCAACAATTTTATATAAATATGTAATGGAGTGATAGTGATCAGGATAGGAAGACCTGTGAAGAAATAAAATAATTTAAAAGTGGATTCCAATAAGTGAAGGTCTTTGAAACGAACTCTGTTAACCCGCTAAATTTAACCATGGAGCTTCTATTTTCATTTATTATTTTTCTGACCATTTTCATTTATTAATACCACACATTGTTAAACAAAAGCTTGTAAATGACATTTTTCCAAAAGTAACTTAGGATACAAAGTCTTAGGCTACGTCTGCACTGCAGAGTTTTTGCACAAAAATGGCCAGTTTTGCGAAACAGCCCGCGGAGTATCCACACTACAAGCACATTGTTGCGCAAGAAAAAGTACAGTAGATTGTCAGAAGATGGGACATTTTGCACAAGAGTTATTCTTCTTTCTACGAGGAATAAGCCTTTGCGCAAGAGCTCTTGCATAAAAAGGCATGTGTGGATAGGCAACGGGTTTCTTGCACATGAAACCCCTCCTGGAAAAAGCACAGGTGCTCCGCTTGACATTCACAGAATGGCCATCAGAGCTTTCTTGCACAAGAGCATCCATGGCAGTGTGGATGTTCTCTTGTGCAAAAGCACATCTCTTCCACAAAAAGTTCTTGCGCAAGAAGCCTGCAATGTAGACGTAGCCTTACTGAAAGACAATGGGACCTTGGTGTTTGCGCCTCACTTTTGGAAATGAGACTTAGGCTTTTGGGTCACTCAAGCACTTTTGCAAAACTTGATTCAAAGTTTAGCTTTTAAACTACTTTTAACAAATTTATAGTGTATAGAAATTAGGGGTGTAAAAGGTTAATAGATTAATAGGTTACCTGGTGAGCATTACACTTATCAGAATGCTTACTTGGTAATGGGTTAACCTCACTGCCAGCTGCGTGGAGGTGGCTGGAAGGAATCTCAGGTGGTCAGGGTGGCAGGTGGAGCTGCATGGCAAACAGGTGGGACTTGGAGGTGCTGCAACAGCCTCAGATCCCAATCCCAGTGGCCCGAGCCCTTCTTGCAGCCCTGGCAGCCCCCACTTTCAACTATGCAATGGTCCCAACTGTACAGCGGTCCCAGCTGTGGGCCAGCTTCCAATCCCAGCTGCGCCACTATAGGCCCATCTCCTGTCTGTGGCACAGCCACACTGAACCTGGCTCTAGGCCATACCCTGGCACCAGTGGATCTGAAACCCACATCAATAATAAGTAACCCTAGCTCTGACCTGGCTGCTGTGCCCCCACTAATGGCTAACTGGTTAACTGCTTTGATCAATATTTACATCCTTAGTAGAAATGCAGATCATTGCATAGTAGCTATTTTTTCAGAAAAAGTGAAGTGAATGGTTTTTTTAAATCACGCCTTCTTGTAAAGAAATAACTAGAAAAGTAATGAGCTCTTTAAGTTTTATGAAACATTTATTAATTCTGAAATTCTTGATAGTCTTTTTAAAGACTGTACTTTAGACACTAAAAATCTGGTGGGAAATCTTTAGAATGTAACTTTTCTCATAAGGATCATATTACTTTAAGCTCCTCTATTTTACAGACAATTTAAATGTTTGCTCTGATCATTCATAGCATGTCAGCGATGTTAAGATTTTTTTTTTTTTTTACACACTAACTTGCTCATAAGGATTTTGTTGGTTTCAGGTGGCCCGAGTATTTTATTACCTTTGTGTAATTGCATTGCAGTATGTGGCCCCTCTGGTAATGCTGCTTCATACAACTTTACTTTTGAAAACACTAGGTAAGCAAAATTTGATAAATGAAACAAATGCATATGTTTAGTAAATTGTCATCTAGGACTATGAAAGGCTTTTATCATTTTATATCTGACCATTAAAAGAAAGCATGTGTAACCAATAATATACAGAGATGTTTTCTTGTAATTTAAAGCAATATCTTTAAGCTTTACAACCAGATTTTAATCCCTAATCATGTTAGAATATCAAACAGGCAAACTATTTAGAATAACAAACAAATTAAGATGCTTCATGTGTATTGAAACATGTATCTTTTAGGGATGTTAATTATTGTTTAAAATGTTAAACACTAGATTTAACCAGTTAATCTTGGAAGACAAACACCCCTTCACACTCTCACTTATGGAGTGGTGAGATCCCCTGCCTACAGTGCATTGTGGTGGGCTGGGCCATGATGGAACAGTCCCCTGATCATGGTGTGCTGCTTGGGGCCCCCCATGCCATGGGCTGCTCAGGCTAGGCTGGGCAAGCTGGACTGAAGCACTCCCTGCCTGCGGTGCCACACAGTAGACTCAGCACGGCTGGAGCAGCCCCCACCACTGCCTCTAGCCACCGCTTAACTGATTACTCATAATCATTATCCGGTAAGGGTGATGCTTATTGGGTGACTGGTTAACCAGTTAACTATTTACATTCCTAGCATCTTTTTCAATTCTGGTTTCTTCTGATATCATTTTATAAAAATCTGTTACATTAATTTTAGAAGATTTCATTAATTCTTAAAACATCTTTCAAACTGCATGGGTTTCTTGAGCTCTATTTGTAAATGAGGCATGGGTTCTGTTCTACAGGTTGGACCTCTGTGATCTGGCACACTTGGGACGTGGCCAGTCTTGAATGAGAGAATTTGCCAGACCAGGGGAGGCACACTGGTACTGACCTCCCAGCCTGTCTCCCCTTCCCACTGCTGACCCTAGCCTCCCCAGCAACCCAGACTGCCATGTCCCCAGCCCCGCTACTGGGGTTGATGCAGCTACCATGTCTCTGGCCCCAGTCCTGCTACCAGGGCTGCCACTAGGATGTAAAATTTTGATTAATTGGCTAATGGAATAGTCAATGCAGTTTTCATCGACTATTCGATTAGTTGATAAGGGTGCCTCTGCCTTTGAAGTGTAGCAACACTTGGTCCAGGGCTGTTGCTACACTTCAAAGCTGCAAGTGCTGCGGGAAGCATGGGGCCAGTGGGGGACTCAAGCAGTCCTCCACTGCCCCTGTTCTCCCCATGGCATTTCAAAGTGGCAGCGCCACGTGGAGCCTGGGGTCCGCTGGGGACTCTGCTGACCCAGGGCTCCATACAGCGCAGTGCCATAAGGAGCTTGGGCCAACTGGGGACTCCTGCCTCCTCCTTGCTGCCTCTTTTTGATAGAGGGAGAACTGGAGTGGGGGAAGCAACTAGTCGACCTGAGTGTCAACTATCCAATAAGCATTTGCTTTATCGGATATTTGACTAGTCATTCACACCGGAGCTCCGGTCCTGGTCCCAGCCCCAGCATCTCCAAGCCGCCAGTCCTCTTGATGTTCAGGATGCTGGACCATGGATTTTGTTGGATGAGGGAGTCCCGGATTTTGGAGGTCCAACCTGTAGTATTAATAAGAGAAGAGCAACACATGACAATTATGAAGGACCATCATTGTCATACCAGATCTACTTTAGTGAAATTAGGGAGTCATCGTTAGGCAAAATGCAATTGTATATTTGGAAATAATTTTCTATTTCTAATATGTTAGAGCTACTGCTGTTGTATATTTAGACTTAACCATAGTAAAATGAGTTAGAATCTAGTTGCTTAATTAATTACCTTCCTTTTTAACAGGTAATTATTCCTGGGGCATCTATCCAGAATCTAGCTCTGACTTTCTAGTGGAAAACAATCCACTCCCTAATTCAGTTTACTCTGAGTCTCCATCTGCTGATGGAAAGATGAAGGTAAATGTAGTTCAAATAACAATGGCATTGGGCAGCCTAAAGAACATTTTTACTCCTCTCCTATTCCGAGGAATCCTGTCTTTTCTCACCTGGTGGATTGCTGCTTGCCTCTTCTCCACAAGCCTTTTTGGGCTTTTCTATCACCAGTATCTGACTGTGGCATGAACTAATCAGATCACAAAGCAAATATATGAAGTTATGTGCAAACCCATGTACCCCAGAGGGGCTGAAGAAAAAATGGAAGAATGCATACGTGAAGAAAAAACACATATCAAATTTTATTCTTAAATGCTTCCTCTGTATTCTCAGGGTGAATATTGCTATGTTTAAAGTCACAAGTGGGTTTAACTTTTGTTACCAAACAGTAGGTAACTAACTGCTGAATTATGGTATTGGAACTGTGACTAATCTTTTTTGTGTGGCTGATATTGGAGGGCTAGTTAAAAGACTAGTGTGCCTGTGAGTACCTTGCTTTCCATTAATACTAAGCCACCCTCAAAACTTTTGTATATTACTTCAGTTGTTGACTGATGACTCAAAGTGGTAATGAGGTACAGGTAACATTAATGGTGTCTGCCTAGTTAAACAATCTTGAAACTGAGCCATACAAATGGGGAAAGAAAATTTTTTGTTGGAATGATATTGATCACTTTTCTGTGTGAAAAGCAAAAAAATCCAACAGAAGAAATACTGTATATTACAGTAAAGAAAGCTGTAGTATTTGAATTTGGATAGGAACAAATCCATGGACTCAGCAAGTATTGCTTGCTGCCTGAGGAGTTCAGGAATGTTCAAGCTGTAAGAGGAATATTATAAAAATACATATTGTCAATCCCTGAAGTTATTTTAAAGTAATGAAGGGCCATATTAACCCTTGCAAGTACAATATTGGTGCTACTAATGATCCACATATTCCATTTGGGTCTTTTAAATTTCATTTTTCCAGGTAATAAATAAATTCCATTGAATTCACAAACTGATTGGAATAGATTATCAACACTGATCAAACTGTTTAAAAAGAATATCTAATAATCCTGCTGAGTGTGTATGTATCTGTAAGTATATATACATATATATTATATATTAAATATATAATATATATAAATGAAGACTATAAAAAGAAATATTGAATCTATAAGTTGCTGAATGTATGTTACAGGACAGTGGGACAAGGACATATATGTACCAAGTAAATTCAAGATCCCTTTTTTAATTAAAATTAAATATTTTTTTGAAAGTTCAGATGAAAGGGCTATCCATTTTTGGTGCCTCTACAAAGGTACTAAACTTTTAATAAAGAACCTTTGTGATTTTGTTGAAAGAGATTCACTCAAAAGTTGTTACTCTTACTTTGTTGGTTAGTGTAATGCAAGTTACCCTGCTGATATAGAAATATTGAACATCTTTTAGTCTCAGAAATATATTTTCTGTACATTAATTTAAAAACCTATAGTAAGGAGGAGTGAAGTATAATTTTACAAGTTTTGTTTAATTTGAATAACAGATCCTTAGTTGAACATTTTGAGGACAAGCTAGAATGACAAAAATGCACTTGCTTTGTGTATACTGCTATCAGAAATGTAGGATTGGGAATTAATGTGGGGCAACATTTTAAAATTTTAATTTAAAAAAGTGCACTGCAGAAAGATATCTTTTAGTATGAGAGTAGTATTTGCTATGCATAAAAAATATGGGCAACACTTTTGGGTGTCTGAATTGTATAAACAAAACATAGAATATAATAAATAAATGGAAAGACTGTTACAAAATGCTTAATTTAAATGTTGCAAATCTGTAGTATGGGGAAACAAAACATCAAAGAATATAAAAAATTAAGGATTTTAGATATTTCTCAATTCCTCTTTCTCTATCAAATGGCCTTGAAATCATTCAAAAATATTGTAGCTCATTTGCTGTTACTACAGTAAGGTTTATATGCCACTGCCTCTTACCTGTACCCCTTTCTGCACACATGCCCTCTTAAATGTCCTGAAAAAACTCCTAGGATCCTGCTGGTTACAGTAGGAGTATAGTACTTTATATCTAACAGTGCTGTAAGCTTCACTAATAACCTAATTTTTGATTAGTAACAGTGGCATCCATTAGGTGAATGGCATAAATCATATTTGACTTCATAGTTTCAAAACTTGAGACATTCCTATGAAAAAATGCATTTTCAGATGATTGCCAGATAGGTCCAGCAATGTTGAAATGGCCCATTCACTGGATGTGTGTTGTATACGATTAGCAATGAAAAGATAGTAGTAGCAATTAAGTGGTAACACGTTGATTTCCAAGGTGAATGCTCATTTAGGAAAAAAACCCCACATCTTTTAGTAGTGTTTTCATTCTGACTGCAAACTCATCATGGGAAGTTATATTGAAGCTTATCGTACAACCTGAAGTGTTGCAATGAAATTTAGGTTCTGAAAGATGCTTAATCCATGAGAAGAACCACATTTCTATATAGAATTTCCATCCCCATTGATTTGTTGTCTCTGCTCATAACTGAAAATTAGCAGCGATTATACAGAGACTTTTATATAAAAAGATGTTTGCATCCTATATAAGATGTTTATTAATATGATTGAGCTTTTTTAGGGCTGTTAACAAGTGTCAGATTTCTTACTCTTCTGAAAAAATACTGATGAAACAAACACAACTGAAGAAGTGACATTGATACATCAAGAAACAGCTTGATTGTCTTTCTATATTCTGATTACAATTTCTAACTATTGGCTCTTAAAAGTTGGATCCAACTCTGTGGCTCTGTAGGTTTCAGGTTGGTTGGAAGATAGTCTCCCTTCAGTGACTTCAGGTGACTTAGATCCTGCATAATACAGGTGACTTGTACAAAGCCTATGTTGGCCAGAAAATCTTTCTGACATGGTGAGTTGGACAAAGAAGAATGGTATAAAGGACATTACTATGGTGATGAGTATGGTATAAAACACGTGTCTGTTCATCTGTAGCTAAATGACACTTTCATGAGCTCAGTTATAATCTGTTTTGTGCTTCATATTAAGGGAACAAATTACTTGTGTATCTGTCTGGCATTCTCAATGATCTACAAAGGAAAGAGTAGGCGTATGCCCTTTTTAGTTGTTGCGTCTTTATTATGTAGAGAGAAGGCTTATGGCATATGTACCACTAGCAGGAATTGTCTTTTTTACATTAAAAAATAAGGTTTTCTTAGTTTCTCTTGGAGAATTTTGTACATAGCTGCAGAGAACTGAAAATGCAGGATACTTAATCTTGTGTGACTCTCTTCATGAATACCTGTTTTTGAGGGGAAAAAACCTGGGAAGATAAGGTATCTTTAGTAAGGTTTTAACAGCCCTGTCCATGCAGATGATAAGATGTGGCTTGTGAGCATGAGGACATGACTAGAGCATGATTTTAAAAAAAAATCCTCTAGTTTAACTAAATTGAAGTTTGTCTTGTGTATTGAGTTTGAGTGGTTTATTTCACTTTCACTTGATTTGATTATTTTTAACAAGATTAAACTGAGCGGAAATAAAAATAGCAAACCACAAACTTGCATCAGTTAACTAAATTGGTTTAAAATAGCATCTTTTTCATTAACTAGGTGGAAGTCTGTGTCTAGAGCAGGCCTGAGACATCTGAGTTCTGATCAAAAAGTAGGGAAGACTAGATGTGACAGTCCTGATAGGAACTCTCTCTCCTTTTTTTTAAGTTTAGAATTTTTTTATACATCAAAGGAAAGGAGAAAACATCATAAACCTGTATTTTTGGGTTTTCCAGGGCACCCTAGAGTGCCTTTTGGGCTGTACTATCATGTAGATATTTTTGCAATTGTAGAAGTCTTCAGGATTTCCCAGCTCCCTAAGAGCATGCAGCCACAAATTCTGCATGCTTTTTTTTTAAACCTCTTTTTTCGTAGATAAAAAACAACTGGTACAACAAAGCAAAAGGGCATATGGTATCAGTGAGAGAGAACAAACACATGTGGAAGAAGAGCTGCCAAAAGCTTCAGTGCTCAAACCCAATGTTATATAACATCTGTTCTTTAGTCAAAGGAAATGAACTTGTGAACAGGAGGCCACTTATGCCCCATCAGGGCTATTTGCCATTCTGGCACTTCAAGTGCAGGAGATGGGGACCTGCAAGAGATCTTAAATACTTTGCTTCTATAGGCTCTGCTTACAAAAACTCCCCAGGGTCACAGATTTACTGACTTTGGGAGGGTAGCTGCCACCACCAAGTGAAACAAACTTTCTTGAACCTAGGAAGAAAGGACTTGGACTTCCCTTCCCAAGGTACCCCAAGCTATTTTGCTACAAGAGAGCTTGAAAAAAGAAAACAAACTGTCTCTCTGATAGCTGACCTCTCAAGGTAGGCAGACATACACTCACAGTACTCCTGTTTCTATTCAGGACACAGGAATCAAATCATCGCCTTAAAAAGGTGATTTTGTTAACAAAACAGATATTCTTGATAAAACACAATGGGTTGCTACGTATTAGAGCAACTGAATAAAACATGTTAAAACACAGAGAATATTTCTGGGTATTCTCTTAGGGTATGTCTACACTGCCACCCTAGTTCGAACTAGGGTGGCTAATGTAGGCATTCGAACTTGCAAATGAACCCCGGGATATTGCAGGAGGAATAACGGTAGTTCGAATTAGGAACTTTAATTCGAACTATCTAGTCCATGGCGTGTGTAGCCGCGGGCAGGTAGTTCGAACTACGGGCATTTAAAAATGGCGCCCGCCTGGGAACATGCAAATGAAGCCCGGGATATTTAAATCCCGGGCTTCATTTGCAAGTTCGAATGCCTACATTAGCCACCCTAGTTCGAACTAGGGTGGCAGTGTAGACATACCCTTAGATAGTGAATGGGGTAGGAAAGACATATATTCACACAGATAAGTTTAACCAAAACAAAGAAAAATGCCCTGATTGGGATTAAATACACATTTTCCCTTTATTTACTCCCTTTATTATCCCTTCCTGGTTCAGTCCACTTCCATGCCTCAAATTCCTTGGAGGAGTGGTAGTCCTGCCTGCGTTTAAATCATTCTGTGTTTCTCAACTCCTGGCTTAACTTCCACACAAAGAAAGCAGGCAAGGCATCTTATACAATTCAGATTTCAGCGCTGTATCCTGTTGGTTCTTCTGGCTCTCTGCCAACACCCCTGCTAGCAACCTAAATGTAACCCTTTAGTCATCAAGTGCTGGCCAGCACTACTCCTATCTATCACATGCCCTAACTATAAAGTCAAACTTGCCTAGAAGCAGGAACTGTTCCATGAAGGTACATGTTGGCTTTCCAATCCACAACGCTCAACTTCTGGGTAAATAGTATGTTTATTGAATACAGAAATCCCAACTAGTCTCCCAACTGTGTCTTTTTGTCAGCCATCTATGGGCACAAAATTTACCATTGCTAATTGAGGTCTTAAGTTTATTTTTAAAAATATTAAAACTATATGACTATGAAAAAATGTCGTCTTTGATATGATATTGTGAAGTTATCGATTAAGGGTAGAAGCCCTTAACACCTTTTTATTCTCAAAGTCTTTAGCATTACACTTCTTTTTAAGCATTAACTCACTTTCCATATAAGAACTTTGTGTTGTATTAGCTGTCTAGCCCCCCCATTTAGACCTGCACATGGTCTATTGCCGTTGATTTCTCCCTCTTGCTCCTCGCCCCACAAAGCTACTAAACATTTACTCAAGCCTGAAGAACAATGTGTAGAATAAAAAATAGAAATCATGAATGAAGATTCTCGGGCCAAAGGAGCTGAAGTTTTTTATATTAAAGAAATGTTCCTAAGTCACGATGGGATCTTGAGAGACAGCAGTTCACTAGAGTTTTAAATTTTAAGGTGAATGTTTACTGTAACATAACAAATAGGTAAGACTTATTTTAATCTACAGCTTAAAACCCCCAAAGAAGAATTAAGGGCAAAAATCTTAGCCTGTTTGATAAAGTCTTTCTCTGAGGCATAGAAGTGTTACAGAAATATTAAGTACACTGTCTTATTGCTGGGCAATATGGCTCAAGGCAGCCAGTCAAAAGCATGCTCCCCAGTAGTGTCAACTCAGAGCTGAGGACCCATGATTATGGTACATAGTTATTCCCACTGTTAGATTGAAATACCATCCTGCTGCTGTGGGAAGTTGCAGTGAGTAGTAGTAGATGGGAAAAAGCTTCCCTAAGTTGTTCTTACAAGCATGCCCCATTGCATCAGTCAGGAATTTGCTATAAGGTTTCCTTACTGCAGTCTGTGCTTTGCTTATCTTTTTTTACAAGTTTAAATTGCACTTTTCCACAGAGGCTATGTCTACA